CTGCGTGATTGTTCTTCAATCCTGCCTTGTATTGGTAACCGTAATCAGATTATTCTACTTATTATGATCAACACGTAGACCAGTTTGTAATGTTAAAGCAACAGCTGTTTGCCATCTTGCATTGACTTTAAATGATCTGTTCATTGCTATTTTTATCTTGAATTAAATCAATTCATTACTAATTTAGCTCTTGTTTTTTCTTTGGTTAGTTTAGGCAATTTTGGTTTGTTCAGTTTTGGTCGTTCCTGTGCTTGTTGTGCTGCAATGAGCATTTTGATGCCTGTTAGAAAAAATAATAATTCAGGGTGCAGAAAAATATTAGGTTGGATTTTCCATGCTGGGACATTTTTTTGTCTAGTATCCTTTGAAATTGTCAATCTTTTGGCTAATAGATAATGACATGCTAGGTGGATTGTGCAGCTACTGATATTGGTGCGAAGCGTGCATGTGGCTTTTGGAAAATAGATGATGTCGACAACAGCTTCTATACACAGCCATTTAGAATTAAATATGCTAGACAAGATATTTATCTATCACTTATGGTGTCTTTCTACATACCCAACAGTCAAGATGAGGTTGGGTTTCATAAAGTTTCTTTTTTTTATGTAATCATGTCTTGTATATAGTTTGATTTGTTCAGCTTTGTCTATTATAGGGTCCAGCAACTTCTTCAGTTATGTTGAAGTTTGAGCTCCTATTTGTTCCAACATTGGGGAATAGGTGAGTGTGTATGTTATTTCCATCTCTTTAGATCTTGTTTTGCATGCTCTCGACATGTTTGTTCATTGTGGAGTACATGTGCATCTAACATTTCACAGGCTGACTGCATCAATACTGAAGCATGTTCTCCTTTTCTTCTCTATTACAGGATTGAAACTGAAGATTCAAATGACCAGTATTTGATCCCTGTTCATGAATTTAGGATCCCACATAGGGCACTCCTGGGTTTACACACATATTGTCCTGTCCATTTTGACACTTTCCACCCTGTGCTTGTTGATCTGACCATACATATAGTGTACCTGAAAGCTGGCGTGACTAAATCGTCACTGAAGGTACACAGGTTTGTGATGCTTTTAGCTTGAATATTATTTTTAGGCACTTAGTCTATTCCACAAGCTTGTCTGAGACTGCTACTATAACAGAAACCATATGTCCGCTTTCTTCCTTTTTTATACTAAAAAGAACTAAAGCAGAAATATGCTTCTAACAAGTTTGGCATAAAATTTTAGAGATACCAAATGTGTGTGTGTGTGTGTGTCTATATATATATATATATAGTTATAAATGTGAGGTTAATTACTTTCTTGATGTTATTTCATGCCCCTGAATAAATTATTTCTTTTATTGCTAATCATCTCATCAAGTTGGTGAGTAAAATGTGTCATTCATTATGCAGGCATTCAAGCAAGGTTCAGTCTCAAAGTTATATGATATTCTGAAGGCATTATTATCTTCTAGAGAACTGTTGCTTGAGGAAGTAAAGAGGATCAGTAATGGTATTGGTACAACTCTTGAAGATTTGGATGGCGCTGATTTAACACTTGGTAAATACGAGTCAGTTCACCCAACAAAGTCAAGTTTTCCTAATTATACTAATGGGCTCCCTGTAACCCCAAAGTGCATTGGCCAGCAGTTTGGCATTTTACAAGATCTTCTAGAGGTACTTCATTTCTCTGTTGAAGATGACTACTGACAAAGTGCAAATATGGTAATTTTGCTGATTGGATACATTATCTTCCAAGTATTTCAGAGATCTGATGATGCGGTTCAAAGCACTAATGATGCTATGCTGTACACTCTTTCCAAGGAAGAATTGTTAGAATTATTTGAAACAGTGAGCGACCAACTTTCACTTGTATGGAGTGGATTCCTGAAGTTTCATAGGTGAGGTTAATTGCTTTCTTGATGTTACTTCAGAAGATGGGCATTTTCTATTGCTCTCATGTGTTAGTGGCTAGCACCGATGTTTCTTAACATTTTAGATTATTTCATGTCATTCCTTATTCAGCCAAAGTATGGTTGTTCTCCTGCAGGACAAATAAATTAAAGATACTGGATTACTTGCATGATATTTGGGATGTTGATCGGAAATCAGAATGGTCAATATGGATTGTTCATTCAAAAATTGAGATTCCACATCGTTACATGCACGGTATGGGTGACAGTTCGTCTCCTCGCCATTCACTCCGGAGGGTTTCCAGCTCAAAGAAGTTGCATCATGATGTAATTGTCTTCTCTTGATTGTTTACAACGAAGTATGCTTGATACGCTTGTCACTGTTTTATGGTTCCATATATTTTTGTAGCCTGTACAGAATGCTTCTTCACGAGCTGAACTCCACAGAAAAAGTATTGCGCAAATGAAGGTCAGTCTTTGTTGATGTTGGAACTGTAAGTGAAACACTTATCTTAATAAGAGGAGACTAATGCGAAGTCCACTGCAGATTAACGCACGGTCTGTTCAAGATATGCATATCTATGCTAATCCTTCACGTGTTCCTGTTGTTCTTATAGAACAACATGTCATGGTCGTTCCACAACATGGTTGTAACAAGGATTTGTTGGCAAATGCTCCAGATCTGTATAATACTTCTGTACCACCTAACCTACAAGGAGATTCTTTTGCGGGGAGTCCTAGCGGTGGTAAAAACGCTGGACATGTCTTACGAGCTGTCATTTTTGTGCATGGATTTCAGGCAAGTTTATTTGGACTTATGTGTTGGTTTGGATCTAATTAGTACACATTTAATTTGAACTTCTGCCGATGTCAAAAAACAGGGGCATCATCTGGATCTTTGTCTCATTAGAAACCAATGGCTTTTGCGTGATCCTGGAGCTGAGTGTCTATTGTCCGAGACAAACGAAGATAGAACATATGGAGATTTTAAAGAAATGGGTAGAAGGCTTGCTAATGAAGTAGTCTCATTCCTAAAGAACAAATTGGATAAGTATTCAAGGCATGGAGGCTGCAGAGAATTGAGGCTTAGTTTTGTCGGACACTCCATTGGGAACGTCATCATCAGAAGCGCACTATCAGGTATTTTCAACCTGGGAAATTCCTTCCAAACAGACCGCTGCATGTGGCTAATCAATTTCCATTCAACAGAACCCAAGTTGCAGCCGTTTTTGAAAAACCTCCACACATACATGTCGATATCAGGGCCTCATTTAGGTTACTGGTACAGCTCAAATTCGTTGTTCAACTCTGGCCTCTGGCTTATGAAGAGACTCAAGGGACTGCAATGCATGCATCAGCTCACTTTCACCGATGAGCAAGACCCCCAGAATACATTTTTTTACAAGCTCTGCAAGGTACATCGATTAAATATATCAACCTCATGCTAGAATTAGATGTTTTCTATAGCTAGAAGTAGAACTAGGACGGTAGGCCAACTTCCTAATTTGGTGTATGCGCCTACTTCCCTATCCTTTTTCAGCTCAAGACACTGGAGAACTTCAAAAACATCATTTTGGTGTCTTCACCGCAGGTGCTTAATATGACCAGCATGCCTGCCCTTCCTTTCGAATGCCAGGATGGTTTTACTCATTCTATTAGATATCCAGAAGGTTTACTCATAAATCTGGTCACAATCTTCCTGTGCTAGGATGGTTACGTCCCATACCATTCAGCAAGAATCGACCTCTGCCCGGCCTCGTCGTCAGATAGCTCGAAGAAGGGGCAGGTGTTCACGGAGATGCTCAACAATTGCCTGGACCAGATCCGTGCACCCACCTCCGAGACGCGGGTGTTCATGCGCTGCGACGTGAACTTCGACCAGTCCACACAACGACGGGACCTCAACTCCTTTGTCGGTAGGGCTGCACACGTCGAGTTCCTGGAGAATGACATGTATGCCAGGTTCATCATGTGGTCCTTCCCGGAATTGTTCCTGTGATGAATGAGGGTGTACCGTAGGCTGGGGACGAGGGCGCCACCTCCATTCTGTAAGCGAAAATTCACATGGCCATACTGAAATGACTTAGTAGTTGACAGCCGATGGAAATGTAAGATGTTCTACACTAGTGGGAGTTCATGTTCTTAGAAAAGAGGCATGACAAGCAAAGTACGGGACGCTTGGGATACTGGCTAATACTCCCTCCTTTTCAAATTATTTGAAGTTCTAGCTTTGTCCTAATTTAAACTTGTTTAACTTTG